TGGGGGGCACTTCTTAATGGTTGCAAGGCTTTTGGAGACATAGAGCTTGGTGAGGAAGTTGCAGAAAGACTGATTGCTTTAAACCCCTTGGACTCTAGAAATTACATTATGCTATCGAGCATATACGCTAAGGCTGGTTGTTGGAAAGATTTTTCAAAAGTTCGAGCTTTAATGAAGGAGAAAGGTCTTGTAAGAACTGCCGGCTGCAGCTACATTGAACATGGGCACATGATTCATCGTTTTCTTGTGAATGATCAAGCACACCCTGAGAGCGAGAGTATATATGCTAAGTTAGATGAAGTTATCAAGAAAATTCAAAAGGCTGGATATGTACCCAATCCGGAGTTCGTTCTACATGACGTAGAGGAAGAAGTTAAAGAAAGTTTGGTGAGCAAACACAGTGAAAAGCTGCATTCGGTCTTTTGGTCTGTAATAACAGCAAGCCTTTGATAATCACAAAGAACCTGAGGATCTGCGGTGATTGCCACAACATGGCAAAGTTTGTATCGTTTGTTGAAAAGTGTAAGATCATCATTCGTGATACAAGGAGGTTTCATCATTTAGCTGATGGGTTATGCTCTTGTGGAGATTACTGGTAATCTTCATTTTTCTTCTGGGGGAGGGGCAATTGATGCATGGAGGTACCTGCATCTAGAGTGGACATGTAAAGATAATATGTTGTTGTAATCTTGAAAAGGAAAGCAGCATACTTGTACCAAACACTTGCCCCAAATGAGTGAAACAACACCATATATTGTTAGCAAACAGTAGTGCTGCATTAGAATTCTGCCCCAAAAAGAGGTGCTGGCTAGTAGTGAAGTAGATCAAAGAGGTGCTGGTTAGTAGTGAAGTAGATCAAAGGGCTGAAATACCTCCCAACTGTGCAGAAATTATGTATGGTGATTACTGTTTCAATTTCTCAACTGATACAACCACCTGTTCAAGAGATACTAAGGATTATAAATATACAAGTTCATATACTGTAATTGTAACACCCCCATTCCATAGGAATGTAGATCGCTTCGAAACGTAACGGAGCCGATATATAAAACCTCCAAAATATAGTCTCCAATACCAAAAAAAAAAAATCTTCTGGTAACGAAATTAAATATATCCCAAACAAAGAAATAAACATCTCCAAACAAACCACTTCAAGCACCTTCCAATAACTCAAGGAAAATCCAAATACAACCTTAAGAGAAATGCTAGTCTAATAGCCAAATAAATAAATCCAATAAATGAATAACGTAGGACTAAACCTCTCGAAACCTTTGAAATCGAGATCCTGGTCTACTCCCCGTCATAAGACTTAGCCGCCCCTTTGATTACCTGCTGTGAGGAATAGAAGAAAACACGGCTGAGCCAAATGCCTGGTGAACGGATAAACAATTATAGTAAAATGGTAATACAAACACGCCAAAATATCGGACAAAACGAGTACCAAAATCTCAGTAAAAGCAACAAATAACATAACCATACGAAAGCATATGAACGGACAAACTGAGCTCGAAAAACGCATACACTTGCATGTCAACCAACAGGACAAGTGTCAGACATATGGCACACAGGCTATACGTTGGACTGCAGATCCACACGTACTAGATGTGAGATGTGGACTTGGACACTACACCGACATTACCCTAGAAACGAATCACATGTGCTATGGCTGATCCGTACGCCTCCTAAAACTAATATCCATCACACCAAATAGCTCTCACAAGAGCACAAAAGAGGAGACGTCGTGGACTGGTCACACTGCCACAGTTAGTTTCACTCCACCGGTGCCACAATGACATGCCTATGGTACCCCCATAGTTGGTTAGTAGCTTGACTTACCCGGAGTTAACTTGTCACGACGAATGTGATGTCATATAGTCTCAATTAAGAGTAAGAGCAAAATGTATTGACATCGAATGAATGATCAACATAAGTAATGTAAAAAAAACATGTTGAATGAACAAGTAGCTGTAACAATTGAGAGGCTCAAACCGAATGGTACGTAACCGATCACATCTACCAACATATGTACACTTAGACGTAAAAATCATATTAAAATGTTACGAAACAATTAAATAGCATGATTAGGACATGTTCTACTTGCCATATATATATATATATATGTACATACATATATATACATACATATATCTCTACTACATATATAACCATTTAGGTCATTATCTTAATTACAACTCTTGAAGCATAGATTACAACCATTTTATGCAAGAAATTCAAAAAACTCTTAATTACAACTCATCATACATGTGGTACAAGCTTTTATGCATTGGATGGCAAATGTTCAAACTTCTTTCTCTCTCCATTATTGCTCTCCTCCACCACAATTCAAAATTCAATTTTTACCTTCCCGATTTAGATTCAAATTCAAAATTCAAGATGCAAAGCTTCAAAACCATGGATCATCTCCTATACGTCTCTCCATTATTGCTCTCCTCCACCACAATTCAAAATTCAAGATGCAAAGCTTCAAACCATGGATTCCATCTGCTTAAACCCTAGCCGATTCATTTTCTAAATAATGGTGATTTTCTCTTCTCCTCTTATTATGACTCAATCGTCTATCGTTTTTTGTGAGTTTATATAATCTGGTTGATAATTTTGAATTTCTTGACCTTTCTCTACTTGCTACACAAAACCCTTTCCGGTAATTTTGGTGTTCGTTTTCATCCAGGTTCCGGTATTGTGGGTTTTCTTTTTGTCTAATTTAGTTGGTTTTTGGGTTTTAACAGATTTGGCATCTAAAGCTACGTTTTTGGCATATTCGACATCTGAGGGTGTGTATCTTTCAAGATTCATGATTTTTGAGTAGTTGTAGATAGCTTTAGATTCATGATTTTTGAGCAGTTTTAGATAGCTTTAGAGTTTAGATTCATGATTTTTGATTAGTTTTGCTGGAAATGATTTTCTACCTCAAATGCCGACCTTGAACATTTACGAGGTTTGGATGCTTTCTTTAATTTTAGCTACTATACACCATCCAGAGAAATCTGTATTGATTACAAACTATGAAGATGCGATTAATGTTTGTGGTAAATCAGAATCATTGCAGCAAGTTCCTAATATTAAGTTTTCATGATTCTTGATCAGGGTGCTATAGATCTGTTGATTAAGGAAGAGTTCCAAAATGTTGGAGGTTATCTCATTGTTGTACAAAGCAATTGCAGCTGCATTCATCTCAACTATGCTGCTCGTAACTTCCATTTACAAGCCCTTAAACAACTTAAAAGGTCAAATGTCAAGATTGATTCTTATTGTAGTTGTCTAGGAAACCGTAATGGGAATGGTAAGAATGTGGTCTTTATTGGATTGTAAATTGAAATTTCATATCCTTTGTCCTTCTCCATTTCTAATCCTTTTTGATCCAAAGTGTTATTTTAGGCTTATATTTAGCACAATCCTTGGCCATGCCTTGTGACAGTAGATGTAATATGTTCCAAAAGATAAGTGTTACACATTGATTTATATACTTTAATACCAACTTTTTTTCAAATTGTTTTTTCAGTGGACAAGTTGAGAATGCCAATGAAAAGGCTTGTCACTGGAAAATTCTTCCAGTCACTTGCAGGTATGAAATCATTTTGTGGCAAGGTTTCTTATGTGAATAACCTAGACTTTATGTACACATAATTGTCTTTTGCTTATCTCTGTGCAGAAGATATTTGATTAAGCTTATTTTATTATAATTTATGTACATATAACTTCGTCATCTTTCTTGGAGCATTGTTTTTTTAAATCTTCTGTAGCCTGTAGGTGCTTAGCTTTGAGTAATTTTGCAAACGAGTCAGGCGTAACAGCGAACCTTTTATCGTTAGTGCTAACCAATTGAAGTGACATGAATTCTTTTTTGTAGGAACGACACCTGTTGTTGTTGGTGCTCCAATTATTCAATATTTTGCTCCTACACCTGGTTCAATCTTACATGTTAAGGAGCTAACAGATGTTGAGTTGGTTGCTAAAACCATGAAACAACTTGCAGAGAATCTCATGGCCTATAATGAATCGTTGAGGCAAGTTCTTTTTTTTTGTTTTCTCTTTCTACCTCTTTGATAGCGTATAACTTCCTAGGTCTATTGATTGACAGTAGATGTAATATGTTTCGATTTTGTATCATTACAAGTCCCAGTTCAATGGATTTTTTTGCATATATATAGCTTTTTCACATGTTCTTTTATGGGTCAAACTTTGATTTAAATGTTGTTTCATCATTTGTGGGCTTTGACAGGAGATTGGGTTTCGAATCTATGGTCGCCTTTTTTAATGTATGTTATTTTTATTATTTACCCGTTATTCTTTGTTGTTACAGTTAATCCTCTTCACAAATGGAGGGCGTATGATCTTATGGCCACTGGGATACAATTCAAGTAGGGTCATTGAATACATTGAGGTATGTTGAGTTTAGAACAGATGGACATTTTAGATATAAATCAACCTTCTTTTGTTGTTAAGCATGATTTGCTTTTTGCCTCAAATAATGGAAATTGTGTGCCTCTTAGGAGCCGTTTACCGACACTTACCCAAGTAAGTGCTTACCGGCAAAATCAACTCTATCACTTACTTACCGGGTGTGATTTTAGTTCATCAAAACAGTATCGTATGCAACAATTTACCCGGTAAGTGTTAATCATGGTAAGATTCGTTGCCACACTTACCGGGTAAGACTCCCGATCCTTGCCTTTGCCCTTACCAGGTAAGATTCGTGGTCTCTACCAACATGCTGGTGTGCCTATAAAGTAGTCTTATGGACTCCCAGCTTGTGGTATATATGCACAGCTTTATTCCTGTGTCATGTGTGTAGCATATCTTACACATTGATGAAGATGGTCATTATTGATTTATGCCACTTCTCTATATCGATTTAATTTTTATGTATCAATTTTGAATTTGTTCTTAGATTTGGAAATCTTGGAACATTTTTTTTTCCTGTTACTTATCCCCTTTCATTGTTATTATTCAATTACCCTGCTAATTGTTTCTTCACAGACCCAACACATTTTTCAGTCCTGCTCCTTTCCAAACTGAAGACGGCCTCTTTTTGTGATTTGGTTGGAATTGGTTTTTCTATTGATTGCTACTGAAATCAGTTAGTTCCATTTTTCTAAATTTGCCTTTTTCTGTATCGATTGCTTCTTAGTTTTAGTTTTCTATATAAATGGTTATTACAGTATCAATAATTATTGAATATGAAAAACTATCTAAAAAACCCGACTGTTGATAGAATATAGTGGGAGACATTAATGGATTCATGAAAATCCTCAATCTATTTTTAGTGGTTGTTTGGTTGGTTTTCCATTAAGTTCTGTATAGATTAATCTGTCTATATAAATTGAGAAGTTTTTATTTGGGAGGGTTTTTTCATAGATGGAAAAACTTGGCTTTCTACATAAAGCTTCCTGTAACAGCCCAAGCCACCCGTAGTTGGATATTGTCCGCTTTGCCCGCAGGCTCACGGTTTTGTTCTTGGCAGCCTAAGCCCCAAAACGCGTCCAACCAAGTGAGGTCTCCACTCCCTTATAAGGCGAGCTTTGTTCTCCTCACCAACCGATGTGAGACTCAGGTTATCCCTCCCCAACTGGGAAACACAGCGCCCCCGCTGTTTACACCGGTCCGGGCACTGGCTCTGATACCACTTGTAACGCCCCCAGAACCCCGTAGCAAGATATTGTCCGCTTTGACTAACCCGCACCTAACCGGTCACGGTAGCCGCACGGTTTTCTCCTGGCGTGGGCATGAACCGAAGTTCGTATGTAACAGCCGTGATGCGGGTGTGTCACTCATCCCACATCGGTTGGTGAGGAGAACTAAGCACTCCTTATAAGGGTGTGGATACCTCAGCCTAGCATGATCGGTTTTGGGTGGGATACGAACTTCGGTTCATGCCCACGCCAGAAACAAAACCGTGCGACTACTGCTTTGTGGTTGAGCGGGCAAGTTAGTCAAAGCGGACAATATCATTGCTACGGGGTTTTGGGGGCGTTACAAGTGGTATCAGAGCTAGTGCCCGGACCGGTGTGCACAGCGGGGACGCTGTGTTTCCCAGTTGGGGAGGGATAACCTGAGTCCCACATCGGTTGGTGAGGAGAACAAAGCTCGCCTTATAAGGGAGTGGAGACCTTACTTGGTTGGACGCGTTTTGGGGCTTAGGCTGCCAAGAACAAAACCGTGAGCCTGCGGGCAAAGCGGACAATAACCAACTATGGGTGGCTTGGGCTGTTACAGATGGTATCAGAGCCAGACCCGGATCGATGCGGCCCAACGAGGACGTTGTGTCCTAACGGGGGAAGGGTGTAACAGCCGCGATGTGGGTGTGTCACTCGTCCCACATCGGTTGGAAGGAGAACGAAGCACTCCTTATATGGGTGTGGATACCTTCTCTAGTAAGACGCGTTTTGGGTGGGATACGAACTTTGGTTCATGCCCACACCAGGAGAAAACCGTGCGGGTTAGTCAAAGCGGACAATATCTTGCTACGGGGTTCTGGGGGCGTTACAAGTGCTCGCCTTATAAAGGAGTTGAGACCTCACTTGGTTGGACACGTTTTGGGGATTAGGCTGCCAAGAACAAAACCGTGAGCCTGCGGGCAAAGCGGACAATATCCAGCTACGGGTGGCTTGGGCTGTTACACTTCCCCCTAGAAGCTTACCGAATTTCAGCAGCTACAGGGCTGTTTTGTGGCAAAAAATCAGCACCTAAAGAAGCTGTTCGTGGATAAAAAATCAGCAGGTAAAGGGCTGTTTTGTTGCTAAAAAATCACAGGATTACATGTCTATTCTCTAGCAAGATCTGACAGCATGTTTCATCGAAGGTAATAATCTTGCTCTTTTACATGTTTCTTCGACTTCTATAAACTTGAAAATGGTTATCTTCATCTGAACCTTATTGCATAATGCTAATGTCGTCTGTTTGTCACTGTCTTTGGACTTCAAATTCTTTTGATTAATGCTACTTTTGGTGATGGGTTGTTCTTACTTAGTCGTGAAAATTGTGATTC